TCCTGGAACAGAAAATGCCATGTGAATTCTGGTTTCAGAATCCTGCATCAGGCTTTCTCACCATAGGCTCAGAAGCAGGTCCTTAGGAATTCTCTTGAGGCCCACTGACCTGCCCGAAAAATGAGTCTAAGATCAGACTTAAGTAAACTTTGCTTGAGTGTTCAATTGAGGGTTAGGGATGTGACAGGAAGACAGTGGCAGGCCCTGGGACCTTCTCAGCTTCTCCCAGCTTTCTGCAGCACATGTGAGGGAAGGCGCTACCTGGGAGCAATTCCGCTCTGGGCTGCAATAAGGGAAGCAGGCTTTGGGACAAGGTTTCAATTTATACCCACGTGTGGAAGACAGTGATCTCTTCCAATAAGGAGAGGGGAAAGCGAACAGAATCTATTTAGGGACTTTTGTTAAATATACAGGACCAAGGCAATGAGCTGGTTCCTTCTCCCTCCCTTGTCTGCCTTGTACAAGAGGGAGAAGCCATGACTGTCCACCTCCGGGCCTCACTGACCGGTCCAGGGTGAACCTACCTCAAGCCGGGCCCACCAGAATCCCCCATGGGAATTCAGAACTGGGCCCAGAAGAGTCCTGGCTCATTCTGCTTATCTCTTGGAAGGAAGATAGATAAACTTGAAAGCTGCTGGCTGAGGCCATTTGCGGCCATGCTCCTCCCTAGGACACATGGAAAGCCAGTCTTCAGGGAGAGAAGACGAAACAGAAGCAGAGTTGGAGAGAGATGAATTTTGGGATTCTCTAAGTCCCACTAGTTCTTGTCTGTACCCAAAGCCCAGCAGCATCTTTGTGCTTAGATTCCTTAAGACGCCCCTGTAACCTCATAATAGAAAATCTTGTTTTGTTATCAAAGGGTCCCCAGTTGTTTCTAGCAGTCACAACCACAAGAATTTTATTGAAAGCAATGTGAGGAAAAGGCCTCCTTCTGTCTCTTTCCCCACAGCGTGATTTCTGGGCACCCTCCCAGCTTCCTAAAGGGAGACTTCAGCATGGAGAAGGGTATCCTACAGGTGACACCAGCTGACGGGGAAAGCCAGTCTCCATCTCCTTCTGTGTCCCCTCACTCTTCCCCCAGTCCCCTGAGGTCTATCCTTGTGCAGCCTTCTAACCATGCGTAATCCGTTTCCCACATATAGAAGTACCTAAATCAGGCCTTTTCTCTGACTAACTGACCTTTCCTGGTTCCATTTCCTTTGTCTGCCCTCTTGGCTGGCAGCGTTTGAGTTCAAGGGTCAGTGTGTCATGCCTCCTAGGTGGTAGCTGCAGTCTAACAGGGGCCTTCAAAGCCTTTGGGGGGCAGGCCAGTGAAAGAAGATGTTTTAGGAAAAGAAAAAAGTTGTTAAGTTCTTCAATTGACTTGA